TGCGGCTCGCCATTTAACTTTATATATTTTTTTGTAAATTTCATTTCTCGTCTGTATATTCAAAAACAGAAAATATATTGAAATAATTATAATTTTTTAGTGAAAAAAAGAAGAAAAACAAATTTCACATTAGATAAGACTAAAATTTAATTGAAATAATAAAGAGTTTATTCGTAAATTACGTATTTTATTTCTTTTACATTTCTTAAAGCACGTTTCCTTAAAATTCGGCTCAGTAACATTATTCCTAATCAAAAAGGCCCGTGACGTCATTTAGGTTGGCCAGGGCTGCTCTATACTCATGGACAAAACTAAGGAAGTGGAAAGTCTTTGATGTCAGGAAACAGAAGCAATTTTGTTCACACTTGGTTATCTCGTGTGTCTTCAATAAAGGTCATTGTGTATCAAATATCTTTCATAGTTATTGTCTGAATCCCGATATACATGCTAAAAGGTACAACTTCCTTAAGTTTTGTCCATGAGTGTATATGAGGTGTGTTCACAAACCAAACTGTTCAAATATTCATAAAACACCACGATTTGAACAAAATCATATGGAGACATTATCATTGATGTATAACCATGTACCATGTATAGCCATACATCAATGTGTAGTCAAGGCTTTTTATTCATATAGTTTTATTCTACCTATATACTACTGTATTTAATGTACATTGTTGTTTTTTAATCATGGTGTTTTAGAAATATTTAAACAGTTAGGTTATTCATTGTGCATGACTTGCATATCGCATAAGGCGCACGCAGTCTGTTCTTTCTTTTATAAATTTTCTAACAAAACACCTTCGCGAATGGATACTAACTATAACAGAGTAGCACATATGCATAAAGTTTGGGTTGTGTTCAATAGAACCTTCAAATTCTACTTTTAAACTATACAAATTCAAAGAACGATTTTTAAAGAAAAAAAATTGCAGGGTTTTTGGCTGGTATTTAAGTTTTACAGATGGTCGCACAAGATAACAAAGACCTAATGCACTGATAGACCTGAGGAAAACAAAGGAAAACTGAAAATATTAATGAGCCAATATAATATGATAATCATGGTAGGTATTTAGCGATTGCTTTTTACTCTAAGTGAGCCACATGTCTACACATGTTGAAAGCAGTTCCACTTTTGTACTTACTGGTGGGGTTGGACTATAGTAAGAATCCATTGAAGCATTTCTTTCTTCATAAAAAAGTCTCCAACGTGGGATTCGATCCCGGGTAGTGGCTTTCGAAAAAGCGACGGTTTATATCACTTCCCCAACAATAAACAATCTATAAAGGAATGACAATACATCCAGATGGCACAAGAACATATTGGACTGTCCTGGTGTGGAACTAACACCTACCCACATATTCTCATGCCCAGCAATGGTCGCAGCCTTGCAGAAAATTGACTTAGACCCAGAACAACAGCTTTACACACCCAAGATTGTTACGACTACTAGAGTAGTCAACTTTATTTTTATGCAAATATATTTAACTAAAAAAAAACTAAGAGAAAAAGTATGTAAATTTCTTTTAGTGTGTAAATTGGTATGTAAATTTCTTTTTTGTATAAATTAGTATGTAAATTTCTTTAATGTATAAATTGACCGTGTTTTTCAATAAAAAAATGAGTTCTGGTTAAGTTTTTGGACGTTTGGTAGTCGTTCTTAAAGTCTCTTCCTTTGGTGTTGCGGAGCTGGACTAAAACACTAGGTTGTCTCTCAAGGTAAAGAGAGACAGCAATCTATATTGAGAAGAAGACCTCAATAAAGATAGTGGACATTGCTGCATAGAGATGTATGGAGACATCTGAGGCTCTTCATTGGACACGACAACAATAAACAATAATATAGAGCAAATTAAAGCAAGAATGTTTCTTTTACACATAAAACTAACTTCTACTGTTCTTACTGCGATGAAAAAATCTGGTAGATTAAATTGTGGCGAGACCTCTGGGAGAGTTCACCCCCAATGAGACAAGCCCTCCCAATATTTTTCATCGCAGTAAGGATAATAGAAATTTGTGTTATGTGTAAAATAAACATTCGTGCTTTAATTACCTATATATAGATTGTGCGTTATTGCTTTATATTAAACTATAATGTTTTATTGATGTTGATCTACAGACTTCATAGACATCTAGGTAGCCATCGGTATAACATTGAAGAAAGATCTGAGAATGCGAATACGTTTTCAGTACCTCCCAAGGTTCGCTTCGAGGAAACAGCGTACATACACCATATCAAACAGTCGGTGGATGAGAGGGTAACACGCTCGATTCCCGACAGTCATGAACCGGGATTGAATCCCGCGTTAAAATGTGTTTAATATGCGAATAACCTTCACATATTACTCACTGTTTCAATTATCATGAACTAGGTTGCTCTTGCTGAGCGGTACCTATTAATGTGTCTGAGAATGCGAATACGTCTTCAGTACCTCCCAAGGTTCGCTTCGAGGAAACAGCGTACATACACCATATCATAATCCTAATTACCAGCAACCTTCACACCGAAATAATTAAATCACTGTAGATATGTGTAATTAAACCACCCCGTCATTATATAAAATTAATTTTGTAAATAATTATTGGGTTGAAGGGTATCATAACTTAGAAGGAGTAGAATGTTGTGATTGTAAAAAAAAATATTTGGTGACCTCTCTCACAGATATCTAGAGACTGTTCTAAAGAAACGCTGCTAAATTGAGATGTGCACTCGACACAGCAAATCTTCTACAATCAAAACTTCCTGACAATCAGGTCATTTCGGGGTAGTGGACAAAAATATGGTAAAAGTGGGTTAGCGTTAACTACGGGAATTCAAAAAGGACAATTTGGAACTGAGACCAGTAACGTTATAAGCGGGATAGGTTTGTAACCAGGAGCGTTAAATTGAGGTTCGGTGTAGTTGTAATGGAAATAACGCGCTTGTCGCGACATTACCCAACATATAGAAACTTGAAAATGGAGGCAATTCTCAATTAGGGTTAAAATTCTGTTTAATTTTCATCGATAAATGATTTATCTACGATAATAATAATGATGAGAAACTGATATGTTATTATTATTCTTCTTTCTTATCTCCACTCAATCATATTAGGGTATCAAGCTTGTTTGACAACCATCATGACTGTGTGAAGTAGAATGCGTCTGCCTTTGTCATTAAGACTGGGAGCACTACTCAGTGGCAGGCCGACTTAGCTCCAAAAGAAATGGCCGCCTCTGACATGAGGAACAGACGTCATGTGCAGCCGCTCCTAACATGGAGTACAAACGCTGCTCATCCTGTATCCCTGGATTAGGAGCCCTTACAGGGTACTATCAGCAGGGCCAGCTGAACCCAGGTTTTTTAGTGAGCTTGTTACTGCTCCCCCTCCTCCTTTTTCATCCGGGCTTGGGACCGGCAAAGGCGGAGTTTTATATTATACTAGACGGGTGACCCGGGCTTCGCCCCGGAATTGACCCGTGTGCATATCTACCCGAGTGATATATATTTAGATAAGATTTTTTATATAATTGTTTGTTATTAGCATTATCTATTTGTTTGCATCAACATAATATAATCTAATCTTTGATAGAGGGCGCTGTTCGTGAGCTAAGTAGAATAATTTGAATATCTAGTTTTAATAATTCCTTTAAATTTTTTTTTACCTATGTATGGAAATTTTGGTTTGAATTAGTGAACTACTGCGAATTTGTATACCGGACATACAAACAAACAAACATACAAACAAACAAACATACAAACATTCATTTATATATATATATATATATAGATGTTATTCTAAAGCGCTCGAATGGCAATCTTAAGAAATGTACGCGTTCCGCGTATGTTTCGGATTAGATCTGGGGCAGACACTGTCATAATTTCAAACCCGGGATATGAAAATTTATTCAGTAACAGGTCTATTTTGCATATTATGGGATTGGAAAAATGCTTATGATAATTTGTAAATTTATATCTAATTGCTACACCTGACTGTTGTAGGTGTGTTAGTATCCATCAAGTCGAGTTCGACTTTTGGAGACAATACGGACAGATATTCTCCAATACACTACTGATATATATAATGATAAATAACGCCTGCAGACAATAGTGTTGGGGAGATATCAACTTGGACAGAACCCCGGAAGAGCTGGGTCAATTTGTCTCTGCGAAATAAGTAGTTTGTCCTAGCATTCAGTATTGAATGTATTTGGTCGTGGCTGGAAAATCTCTCTTATTGTTTAAATAAAAACTATTCTGTTTAAAATTTTTACGAGAGGCTTTTGGCCGCTGAAGATTTGGCCGCGTCTCTTCTTTTCCAAGAAAATTTGGATGTTGTCCAATGGAGTGAATCGATGTTTTTCTTGGTGGCGTTGACTTGGGTCGGCACCGGGTCGGCTCGATGGCTTGGTATACAACGTTTGTTTGAAACAAAAGAAAGAGGCGTTTAATGCATTGTTTGACAGGCGAGGCTTCTTGATTCATTAGACCCGTTGAAGAGTCATTAACTCGCCTGTCAAACGTGATTTAATAAACGAAAATCATCACTAATGATTCTCGTTGTTTTTGTTTTTAAAACTATTTCTAGACCATTCTATCCCTAGTTATAACTTTTGCTAAGCCATCTCGAAGCATATCACCACATTCTAATTAACCACACCTGCTACAAAGTACCATTTAACTATACCGTAATGTATGTCTGTATATATACTGTGTAGTAAGTGTTTATTCATTGGTTGTCCGACTTCCCATCGCCTCCAACCAATTAGAGCGGCGCATGCGCGAAGCCATTATATTTTTACCATTGCGTGCATCCAAGGTAACGATTACACAACTTCAACCGTTTTTTTTCTTTCCCGTAACTATCTCTTTTTCATAACGTATTTTAATTTGATTGTGTTTATTTTGAAAAAAAAAAAAAGTTTAAAGAAGACAAGTTTGGGACACATTCAAATTTCCCCGCCGTGAGACATACTGCTATGCCAGGAAAATACGTTACGGGAGATAACCCTACAAACATTAGCCTGCTAGGATTCGAACCTGGAATCTTCTGATCGGTATAATCAGACACGTTTCAACCGCGTTACGTCACGCTAAATGTATTTGACTTACATTTTTGTGCTGGTGAAGTGGGGAGGTGGGAGAAAATATCTGAAGTACTTTTTAACAAAAGTTTCTTCAAGACGAATTGTTCGAAAAGAAGCAACTAGGATTTTTGACAATAGATGGCGACAAAACTGTTCTAACTCAATATGCAAAAATAATTATACAAAAAAGGGTTAATAATTACAAAGGAAAATACACATTTAAGCTTACGATTTATTTATTTAACACAACAAAAAAGACCAGAAGTTCAGGTGACGAAGAACAAGGTTTTATACTTTCAAACGTGGAATGTAAATAGAAGTGACCATGCGACAAAATTGTTCTATTTCAATATGCAAAAATAATTTACACAAAACAGGGTTAATAATTACAAAGGAAGATGTAAAAAAATCTAATATACAATTAAGCTTAGGATTTATATATAATACAATAAAAGTATGCAAAAAGATCAGGTGACGAAGAACAAGGTTTTATACTTTCAAACATAGTATGTAGATAAAAGTGACCCCATGGGGGAGGATCCTCTCTATAATGGGACGGAGTCACTTGCCGTTTATAATGATAATTTTTGTTATTAATTACACTGGCCAATAACAGATGTTTGATCTGTTGCCGGCAAAGTAACAGATGTTCTAGGGGCTTTTCGGTGTGTTGATTCTAATTCTGAAAACCTTATCTTTCTATCAGCTACCGTTGTCAAGATGGAGTGTTGGCAACCTATATGTTGAAGACATCATATCCCCTTCTCGGCCATGTTTCTATTCCTGTGGTACAGAGTTCAACTCTAGTTAAATCAACGGTGGCATCTCAATCTTTTACTAATATATTGAAGAGAAATTTAATTTTGATATTTTATTTTTAAGATAACCAATCGTTTTAGAAGACTCATTAATGCTACGCTGAGTATGTATCTCTAAAATGAGAACTGATAGAGCAAAACGGACAGCATTTCTGCATTCTGCATATCAAAATAATAATCTAAAAAAAACTGTTTAAATGCCTAAAAAAAAAAAAAAAGGTTAGTGTCCCAAACTTGCCTTCTTTAAACTTTTTCAAAATAAACACATTTTAATTAAAATCCGTAATATAAGAAAGAGATAAATAGAAAAAAAAAAAGTTGAAATTGTGAAATCGCTACCCTGGATGCACCCAATGACGAACAAAAATATAATGGCTTCGCGCATGCGCCGCTCTAATTAGTTGACGGCGGAGGAAAGGCCGGAGCACCAATGAATAAACACTTACTACCGTAAACACAGGCATACAATTGGTTAGTGTTATAAAATTAATTAGCTATATGCATTTAATATATAAAGACGGATAGTTGGCGACTTTAGTATGCTCCAGAAATCAGGGTTACATAGAAAGAGAGAGAGAGTAATAAATATATGATACTATCTTTTTCTTAAACATTTTGAAAATCTGATTCTTTTTAATTGAGAAGACTGTGTACATGTTATAATACAATTATACTTGTATTTTACCATATATTTCGTTTAATTCATTCCTCCAATTAAGACTGTCGGGAAAGGAGTATGTTAATCTTCTGTATAGATTTGAAACTGTGTAAATTTTTGATTCATTTTTTATTTTTATGTAAATACTTATGCGTATATATTCGCTGCTAAAAATAAAATCATCATCAGTTGTAATTCGCTGGCTGGACTCGTGTTGTTGCTTGGCCGATCATTGACAGATACCTGCCCTAGAGAAGACAACGGAATCTCGCAGTGACACTTTTCTTCTTGGAGTCGGTTTTACCCTGCTTAGAGATAGGTTGGTGTTGTCCTCCCGGGACCAGAAAAAGAGACTTAGGGCGTCTGGGTAGAATAGAGCCTGGGCGCTGCGCCGCTGAACGCGACAAAGACGTTATTTCTTTTATATTTTGTTTCTTATTTGCGTTCTTGGTGTGTCTCTCAGTCTCTGTGTTTGTCCGTGTGTATATGTGGAAGAGAGGCAACCTTACAAACCTCTCGATCACAAAGCTAAGCGTTCATATTTCGTCGACGGTCCAACATGACGTAGAGTCACCCTCGGCTACCACCGACCTTCACAAAAACCTCTCAGCAACAAAGTAATATCAGGTTGGAACCAGACCTCTAATAATGTAGCTCGATTCTTTTTTTTTTTCCTTCTCTCTCCAAATCATAACGCGGCATGGGAAAACAAATTGATTCTCTCCCGGTGCAATTCGATTTCTTTCTTCCTTTCCCGTTAGAAATGACTTCCTGATGCTAACTGTTGTCTGAATCTTCTTCTCTTAAAAACTGTGATTGTTTCTTTTATTGAATTATAATATATCGATTTTTCAAACCTGTTCAATCTCCGGTTTAAATAATATTTAATGAATTGCAGCATTTAGTGTGTGTCATTTTTTTTATAAAGTTGAAGGACTTTCAATAAAAGAAGTATATCTTGGCTCTATACGGAATTATCTTTCTCTCTAACAGAGTTTTCTAAATAATAAAGTTTCTAGTCAGCTCCTCTCTGAAGATACTGAACTATACCTATTTAGCTATCACAATCCTCCCCCCCTTTTTTTTCTAATTGGAAAACCCTATTTTTTATTGTTAAATATTGCTAATCACACACACAAGCCTTTATTAAGACATTCCGTCTTATATAGACAATTCTCTTGTTAGAAATGAATCTAAAAAGAAATGAGAAGTAGGGGAAGAAATTGAATCTACGCTCAGAAAAGAGAAAAAGAAGAAAAGGAAAGAATATCTATGTACAAAAGTTGAGACTATATACATCGTTTTTCGTGCATAGAACACAGTGAAGAAGTAGACTATTGAGTAAATGGTTGCATCTTGTGAAGAAAAAAATATTTCCACACAGCTCAGTTACTTTGTTAGGTATTTTTTCCTCCTTGCGGTCTTGAAAAAATTAAAGAACTTTAAAATAGCTGACCCATTATCCATCAAGTCAAATATTGCTATTCATATTTGATTTTAAAGATTTTTTAAAGAATTTTTTCTAGTATTCATCATTTTTTAGTAATCTCTGTTTCAAATATCATCATATTCACTTGTGAACAAAACTTAAGGAAGTGGAAGCTTAATGTTGCCGGGCGTCTTTTTTTTTTTTTTTAAGGAGGCAGAGGCAATTTTGTTCACACTTGATTATCTCGTGTGTCTTAAATAAAGGTCAATGTAATATCTTTCAGAGTTATTGTCTGAATACCGATATATATGATAAAAGGTACAACTTCCTTAAGTTTTGTCCATGAATGTATATAATACAACAGCAGTTTTTTTAAAAAAAGTAAAGTTGTTTGTTATCTCCTCCCCGAAGATATATCTGTATAATTATACGTTAAACAAAATTTTCCTTTTAAAAATGGTTCAAAAATATTGATGATCGTTGTTTATTTTCCTTTTGACAATTCTGTTACCTACTCTACTACAATATTAATTATTGTAAATAGCTTTCACGCGCAATTATCCAGATCGGATATAGCGTGTCTTATTTGCAACTTGTAATAAATAAATATTGTTATAAACATTTAATAAGAGAGGGGGAAAAGAGAAGAATTACCCGGGTTTCTGGAGGGTCGAACGTCAACTACCTGGGTTGTCCAACAGTCTAGTGCAGAGTTCTAGTTACGGAGGTTACAGAACTGAACCAGTTGACCAGGAAAGCTGGCAGAGAGTCTGGGAGACAGGCCAACGATGCAGGATCGAGCTCAGCCAATCCAAGTACTGTCTACATTCTGTGCCTAAAAAAAGCTGGACAGTTGAATAGATGATCCCGACCATTCTAAAATGGCCAAATAGTCGTGAACAAAGAAGCAGAAGTGATTCACTGTCTGTGATTCTTCCAAGTAGTAAAACTTTAATAAAACTTAGGACGCATTCTTGTTGTTTTATATACATTCGTAGAAAGTACTCGGCTAGTTATTTCTATAAAGAACGAAACGAAACCTGAAAAAGGTTGTTTGTTGGAATATAGAAATGAAGACAATTTGTAGTTCAATTGCAAGACACGGCTCTTTCATTGAAAATATTCCCATTATAGATTGCTATAGTTTTAACAAAATTGGAGAAATTTGCCTTTTTTATTCGCTCTTTTTTTATTTTAAAATAAAACTACAACCTTTCGTAATAAGTTTCTTTTATTATGATATGCGCGAGCTTTCGGGCTGGAGCCGCCCTTCTACAGGCAAAAAATGAAACTTTTTTGTTTTATCCCATAGCAATTTTTATTTTTGATGTGTCAACTTTATCTCTTTTGTTGAATGGTTTCAAGAGCCAGAATGGATGTCCAAAGGATCCAAGGGAGTTGGCATGTAGAGACAGAGAGGGATATTCGCTCTTCTATTGAATAATTTTTGTTTACCTATCTCAAGTACGCATGGTACAGGCAATGATAATCATGGTGAATATTTAGCGACTGCTTTTACTGTAAGTTGCACCATATGTCTATATAGGTAGAAAGAAGTTCGACTTTTGCTTTTACAAATGTTCTAGGGCCTCATATGGTTCCATGCACTCACTGGTAGGGTTGGATTTCTGTAAGAATCGGCGGGGGTCATTGTGAAAAACAATATTTTTCTCTAGGAAAAAGTTCCCAAGGCGGGATTCGATTCCGGGTCGTGGCTTTCGAAATGTCGACGGACCACTAACCAACCAAACCCATAACTAATTGATTAACTTACACTTATGGACAAGACTTAAGTAAGTGGATAATCTTTGAAGTCGCATATTGTCTTTATATTTTTTAAGGAGACAGAGGCAATTTACATTATTTACACTTGGTTATCTCGTGTATCTTCAATAAAGGTTACTATGTATCAATTATCTTTCAGAGGTATTGTCTAAATCCCGATATACATTCTAAAAGGTACGACTTCCTTAAGTTTTGTCCATGAGTGCAACTCTGTATAAGCCAGTGAACCTTGGAACGTTTTTTTTGGGGGGGGGGGGGGGGGGGGGGGGGGGGAATATATTATTTTTTGTCGAGATGAATCAGATGAAGCGTATATTTT